TTTCAATAAATAATAATGTGAATAATAATGTCTTGGTAAACGTCTATAAATGGGGTTGCTGGCGCAAATGGGAAAACTCGGGTCAGGAACAATGACGTAACAATAGAGGATCGCAGTGCAGTGGCCGGCAGCGATCCATCGGCATACGGAACGTATGAAGAGGCAGGGTATGTACTTGCAGGCTACAACAATAATTATAAATACAAGCTGTGGTATGACTTCACTAGCCGCTGTTTACTGTGTATGCACTTCTTTAATTCACATGGAGACCGGTTTCTAGCAGCAGGTGACTATAATGCGAAGCACACTCACTGCGGATCTCGCCGTCTTAGCCCGAAAAGCAGGCAACTATACAGCACCATTATCCAACAAAGCAATAAACTGTACTATTTCTCGCCAGGAAGACCAAACTACTGGCCAACTGACACGAATAAATAGCAAGATTTAATTGACTTGCCATCAAGAGAATTCACGGTAATCTCAAAGATCCATAAAGTCTATCTGATATAATCTGGCTAAAATACATAAAAGTATATCACTTCCAATCATCAACAGCACTTAAACATAGATGATACAGTAAAAAAACTGGAAGCATTTCTTGTATCTGCTTCAAGTAACGCAACACAAAAAAGTTCAATATCAGCTCCCAGAAGGGAAAAGCGCCGTCTTCGCCGAGACTGGCAAGCCAACAGGTCATTATCTGCCCACGAAAAACTAGTAGCAGCCACACGCAAGCTTTCTAAAATATTGAGACAAGAAGAAACGCAGGCCCAAGAAACTTAAATTAAAAAATTATTACCTACGAACACAAGATTCCCGCTCTGGAAAGCTCATCCTAATATAAGCCCACCGATTCCAGCTGAAACACCGTTGTGCGACCGGCTCTCGGGCCAACAGCGATGTAAAAAAACGAACGTTTTTGAAAAACACCTTTACAACACAATTAGCTCCAAATGGAGCTAAGCCAAGGCGAGCACACCACATATGTCTCATTCCAGAATTTTGAGATCTCCAAGGTCATCAGAGAGCATCTAAAGCCAAATAAAACTCCTGGGCTTGACCAAATCACACCCAAAATGGTAATACAACTCCAACCTTGCGCAATAGATTACATCAGAAAACTTATTATTGCCGTAACAAAATAGGGTAACTTTTCACTGCAGTGGAACAATACTATTATATTTATGATTTCCAAGCCAGGAAAAGATAAAACTCTTCCTCTTTCATACAGACCGATAAGCATTCTTTCATGCCTATCCAAGCTCTTGGATAATCTTATTGTTCAACGCACATCTGACAGAACGTAGCGTCATGCCGGATCATCAATTTGGATTTACAGAAGAGCATGGTACCATTGAACAATTCAAAAGAATCACCTCCGAAATTCGAACTTCTTCTGTTATTTTCCTAGACGTCTCTCAGGCTTTTGACAGAGTTCGGCTGGAAGGTCTTATCTATAAGATTAAGCTTCACCATGTGCTTGAAACCTACCTCTTAAGCTGAGTTTTCATGGCAGGCGTACCACAAGGAAGCTTCCTCCGACTCAGTCTTGACCTCCTATATACGGCAGACATACCCACGAACCCGCGACTTATGAAATCCACGCTCGCCGATGATGATTAAGTTCTCAAATTGTCCACTTAAGGTATCATCATTACTAACTGGTTACCTAATTGTCGCATAAGAGTGAACGAAAATCCAAACACATTACCTTCACCATAAACAAAGAAAAATGGTCCACCATTATCACTCAATAACGTATTGATGTCATCTACAAATGAAGTAACGTATCTCGTAATACACTTAGATAGGCTTCTCACTTAAAGGAAGCACATAAAAGCCAAGCGCAAACAAATAAAACAAAATACCCGACAAGTGCATTGGCTAATAAGCCACCGCTTAGCGTACAAAGTTTTGTTCTACAACACTGTTATAATTGCTGTCTGGCAATGCCAGTAACAGCAATATTGAGCTGATTCAAAGAGCACAGTCAAAAGTGCTAAGAACGATAACCGCAGCACCCTGGTACATCCGCAACACAGACATACACATCTTACATCCCGTTAGTAACAAATTGCCCACTCAAACCAGCAAACGCGACTAAAAAGAAATTACTTACCAGCCCGGTAGCTAACGAGGCCATTCAAATGGTGCTATTAATGAGCATCAGGTAAATTTATAAAATTAAGATAACTTGTTGTTAGTCCCCTAAGGGAGAAGATTCAACAAATAAATAAAATTTCATAGTCAAAAACTAAGTAAGCCTCTTGTATTTTGAAAGGAAAGAAAAAGTGAGGACTTTGAGATAGAAGAGAAAGTAGAAAGCGATTAATGCTTTCAAAATCGGTAGAGTGGGTAGTAGAAATGATGTGATGGAGTTTATTATCGTCATTAAATAGTAATCTTAAAGGCATATCAAAGTTTGGTGGACAATGGTTTAAAACAACAGAAACATAGTTCCTAGTAATTTTATTTGGCCCAGAGAAATGTAAGCGGCCCAGTAATTAATTAGAAGAAGTCTACTAGGGTAAGATGGTAATATTAGGTTTGCATCCGAACTAAGGCCCTGTAGGGCAAATCTATATGAAAACAATATTGGGGACTCCAAACTGGATAAATTAACAAAGTCTTTGTGACATAGCGATCATCAAATTCCTTAGACCACCTTTTTTATAAATCCAAGCACTCCCTGGCTTTATTTACCATGGATGTAATATGGTCAGAAAATTTAAGTTTTGGGTCCAAAAGGGCCATGGTGGCTAATTGAGGAACGCCTGAAGTAACGTGGATATTTTTAGAGGATAAGCTTTTAAAGAGGTCTCGTTGTGTCCTTCCCCTAAGATAACTTAAAATCCATGTTAGAAGATCATTTAAAGACCCTAATAAATCAATTTTACGTACAAGAAGAAAGTGATTTACAGAAACAAACGCTTTACTAAAATTAGTGTTACCATTGTTGCGGCACCTAAGATCGGCAGCTGGGGTGAGGGTTGCCAATCTCGAGGAGCGTGTTCTACGGCTTTACGCAAAGACTGCCCATCGGGCTCCGATAGCAATGGTCTACCTATGATCCTGCACAGTTCTCAATTTTGCAAGGATCCACTAGGGGACTCACCTACTCCTTCACGGGCTTAGTCCCTTCCACTCAAATGTTAACATTGCGTGTTTCTTTTTCTAAGACAAGAGTTTCAGGACGGAAAACATTATCTGATTGGGATTTTGTAATCCAAGAACACCCGCCAACATAAACTAATTTTTAATATCCCAGCTCTTTAACTTTTTACGATGACTCTACGTTATTATTTACTCAAAACCACCCTGACAAACGGCCTCAGTCTTACAACTTTTCGATTGGTGGCTAGTTGTTCGGGCAGTCATGCATCTTTACGGTGGGTACCTTTAATTTTATAGCACCAAGTTGGAAAATACCATTTTGTATACGACATTCGCTTTCGGTTCACATTACCGTTCAAAGAGAATTTAAAAACTTAAGCAAGACATCAATTCATACATTTTCTAATAGTAAAGTATAATATTTGTTTCATTTTGGTTTGGGAAAGCACCTGACACCTTACATATTATTTATTTCACGGTTCTGTTTTCTAAATTATCCGTGCTTACAGGGAATTTTCATTATTATTTGAGTGTTATAGGATTCTTACAAACGGGAATGATACACTCTAATTCATAATGCAGGACATAAAGGTTCAAATACTATGAGAATTACAATCACCCAACTGTAGGTTCCGTCGAAGGCCTTCGTCGTTCCGCAGATGAGGATGCTACATTTAGATTTCAAGGTTAAGTAAGGTTAACGCTATATTCCAATGCAGCAAGAAGCACCATTCGCATCCCTAATACAAACTGCTTTTTTATTCGCTTCTGGAAGCCTTGTGGTTGGAGGTTGCTGCCACTTCTTCGCTGTTCCGATCCGAGTGTGACACCGCTTTCAAGGCGTTAGGTGCTGTGGTTCCTCTGTAGAGCTACAGTTTGTTATACTGACGTGTCGAAGCATGGATAGCGCCCATCCGAGAATTAGCTCAGTTTTCCAGTCCCCGTGGTTGAAGAAGCACCTAGTTGTCGTACATGCATGAGTCGTTTAAGCTGCGCACTACTCCTCTAGCTTGTAGCGTCTACTTAGTTCTCGAAGGCGGCTCACAGTTTGACCGACATGGTTAATCTAAAGCTCAAGAACTTTGAGAGAGAGCGGGCGAGTCAAAGCGGGTGCGTAACACAGATTAACTCCGATATTAACACCAGGTTTATAGCCGTTCCAAATTATCAACGATGTTCAACTCCTCAAAGAGAATCAGAGAGGTAGAAAAGAGTATCACCGTTAGAGCGCTTGTCGTTCCAAAAGCATCCAACGACTGAGAGTAAAAGAAAAAATAACTTTTAAGATAGACAACAGAAATACAATAAGAACAAACAAAGCACCAAATTAAATGTTTAAAATTATTTACTTTATTAAACACTAAATAATCACAACGCAAACTTGAAGCGAACAGGTAGTTGTAAATAACAATTAAAGGCGTTATGTTATTTAAAAAGTTTGAATGTAACCCCGATGGCTTACGAAAAAAAAGTAATACTTCTGAGCGCGAAACGAAAACACTACCGTTCACAGCGAAGAAAGATATTTTCCCCCGATTACCCCTTTCATATGGTATTTCATCGATTTAACTGAAGCTTGACAAATACCTCAGAAGTGAGGTCCTGCCAGGGGTAAAATGCAAATCAATTCTATTTTTTCAAGCTGTGCGGCAATCATTTTTATTGCTCTAATTTTCTTGACGCTCCCACAAAATTAGTTTCATTATTCGAGTAGAATTGAGACATTTGCTTCCTTAAAGGTTAAATCACTTACCATTTCTAAATGTATGGCTTTGGTTGCCATACAAACAAATACGACAACGTATCTCTTATAGGTCTTTAGTCCACGATTCTTGGAATATTTAATGATATAGGAGCGATATAAGAACGAGTACGACATCGTGACTCTGTAATTATGCAGATTGCCCTTTAATAGTTGAGCTGTATTATCGTCTCCCACCAGCAGCGGTGCTGCTGGCGCTAGCGCTGCACTAACAAATCCATTTCTATCGTCGCCACCAGCCGCACAGGCTGGCCAGCCGATAATTGATCTGTTCGGTGCCGCGTCGGCGCAGCCCGCTGCTGCTGCAGCAGCCACCAAGGCCTCTGACGATCTGCTGCAGTTGGGAAATCCTTTCGCCGACATGTTTGAAGCCAGCGGCGGCGGCGGCGGAGCTGCCGCTGCAGGAGCCACAGGTGCTGCACTCAATGCCAATAATTTGTGGATGCATAATAATGGTAGCATGTTATAATTTTCATATTATTTCGTCCTAAGTTTTCAAGTAGCGATTATGATTTGAATTACGTTTATTCTGTGCTGTACATAGGTAACAGTCGGTGTGTAAGTGTAGTGATCCTACATGTTTATATTGTCGTATAAGAGCTATGAGGAGCGCACTTATCCGGCGCTCTAGACGCCGGATAGTTGTAGCTTCAACACTTGACAAATTCTTTCAAATACTTCTTTAATGAATTTTTTAACTAAAAAATTCAACACTTCCTTCGGATATAATATCGCATAAGGCTTATTCCTCCATGCAGAGTTTCTGTGTGAGAATTTTTTATCAACAAGTTTGATAATTGGCATTCATGGAATTAAAGGATGCTTTATTTTAAGTTCTGCACCGGAGTTTTGTAGTCTCCCTCCCACTCGAAGAACACTGTTCTTATCCAAAATGGATTTAACGACAATGTTTAGAGCAGACCGCCAGCACCTAGTCAAATGCTCATAGGTGTGCGCTGCACACGCAGGGCTGTTATACAGCTTTGCATGTTTATTGTTCTTCTTTTTTCTTATCGCGCTACATTTGTGGCGTTATCTATTCAGCTGAGCTACAGCGAAAACATGTACAAAAATTTGAAGTCAAGCTTTCGGCAAGTCAGTTATACAAAATCGCTGCAACTCCGAGCACAGCTAATAAAATCAAGAAATAATTTCAATTGAACCTATCGTGCGTTTAATTTCTATTTTAAAACTAAAGCGTGGCATTTTGGTTGTTTTCCCCATAAACATTTTAGTGACCCCGACGTGATATTCGTCTGAGTCTGCATGTCGGTTTTTAACATTGTTTAACATCGTTTAAGCAATAACTTATTTTCGCTGTCGTTTGTTGCATCTCAGTCACAAACACACGAACACTTTATGTGCGCGCTGCTGGCCGGCCGTTTGTTTTTTGTTTGAGCATTTTCGCGCTGTGAAAGAAGCAAAACTGTGTTGTGCTGCGAACATTAAACATAAAAGGAAACGCAATTAATTGTTGTTAAGCGCGTATATTGCATAATTGTGTGTAAATAGCCGTGTATGTGTATGGTCACATACATTACTTTGCCAAGTCAATGCGCTGTTGCTAGGCGAAAATTTCGGTAAAATGAACAAAAACAAAGTCAAAGTTTCCGTTACGTTGTTGGCGACGGTGCATTAATATTTTCGTGGCAATAGTCATAGGGTGATTTCTGCCCTCTGAATCCGGTCAGACAATAAAAAATGGTTAACCCAGGAGACGCGATTCAGCCTCAAAATGATGGTCCCAGTGACATCGAGTTTTACCGAGCCAAAGTGCGTTCCGTTTCGCGGCAGTTAAACGCAATGAAATATTACTTAACTGCTGGAGCTAGTGAGCAGTTTGATGAATCTGATGTCCTCGCGCGGCTGGAATGGGTGAACTCTATGAACTTGGAATTCGATTCTGCACAGACTTCGCTGGAAAAACTGGACTTTTCGGAGATTAGTAAAGATACGCGGTTTGAATTTTCCGCAATCTTAATGGATCTAAAGGCGAAACTAAATCGGGCCTTATCAGCTCTGCTCAAACTGCATTTGCCGGGTTCCACAGCGGCCAATTCTACATCCTTTGGTATTATAAACAATGCGGATCTTTCTTTCAGATTAAGGAAGCCTCGATTGCCAAATCTAGAGATTGCTCGTTTTCATGGATCGTACTCAGAATGGCCGGACTTTATTGCAACTTTTACCACGGTAAGTGGAAATGATGACGAGCTAAGTGATATTAAAAAATTGCAATATTTGAGGTCCTCTTTAGGCAGCGTGGCTTTGGAAACCATACCATCGCTCGAGCGATTTACTTATTAATCGATTTGATAATAAAGTTTTACACTTTCAGGCACACGTTCAGGCAATATTCGGTTTAAAAGGTGTCGAGAAGGGATCAGCTAAGGGTCTTCGGGAGCTCAGCGATTGAATGAATTCGCATCTTCGAGCAATCCGTACCCTGGCCACTACACAACAAATTCTGGATGGATTTCTCATTCATATCGTGACACAAAAACTGGATCAAAGGACCCGTGAAAAATGGGAAGATGATTTGTCAATCTCTGAGCTATCTACCTGCGCTGCTATGGAGTCGTTCTTGGAGAAGAGGTGCCGGATGATGAAAAACTTGGACCAAGCTGTGGGAATTCAAACACCACACCATCAGGTGGGAAAAAGCATGCATAGATATAACCCAAGTGTACTGACTACGTCTGCTACTAACTCAAACCAACACATTTGCCCATTTTGCGATGCTAGAGATTATTATTTGCCAAAATGCTCCAAATTTTTAAGCTTGAGTCCCAATCTTCGATATAGGGAAGAAAAGAAAATGCACCTTTGCCTCAACTATTTACGCAAGGGGCATAGCTTGAAGCAATGTAAGTCAACTCATTGTAAACAGTGTCGCATGAAGCCCCACTCATTACTGCACATTATTCTAGAGGCATCCATACCATCGACCTCAGTTTCATTTCTATCATCCGACCCATCTATAAGCTCTCATCCATTACCATCGACTTCATCATCACTAGCGTCATGCTCATCTCCATTGTCACAACTGTGAAGAGTCTTAAAACTCCCCACAAATTCCGAGGCAGGAGAGCTGCATAGCAACAGCGAAGGAGGTGAGAATCCCGGAGGAGTCAAGGGCAACAAGGTCAAACGGTAAACAACGGACCTTGGACCCGGGCAAAGCGGAGACACCGTGAATTAACGGTACCACGCTGGACATTGGACCCTCATACGGCAAGGGCAACAGGGTCGAATGGTAAATTGGCGAACTTCGGACCCGCACAAAGAGGACGCACCGTGAACTAACGGTGCGGCAGTGGACCTTGGACCCGATCACGCTGGAAAAGGGAAATAACGGGACCATCACAGGCTATAAAAGGCGGCGCAAGCGCAGCACACGAAAAGTAATAGTGCGAGAATCAAAGCGAGTGCGTGTACGCGAGACTAGTAGCAAGTTAATCAAGTGCCGAGTACCAGGATCAAGATCGCAAAGTCGAGACGCCGAACGACTGAGAGTCTACAAGGCTGAGGCTTCAACGCTGAGATCCAACGGGTGCTAGGTCGTGGTTAAATCGAGCTCAGGGAGTCCTTGCGTGGAGTCTGCGATAAAGGTGGCTGGGCGAAGGGGTCGAACCGAGTTCAACCGGCTAGGCGATACACCTTGCCGACACAATCCGGACCAACTTAGGGAGCCTGCGATAAAGGTGGCTAGGCGAAAAGGCAGAACGGCGTTCTACCTGCTAGGCGAAACACCTTGCCAGTGAGGTTCGCATAACATCCAGAGTCTCGAAGGAGCCGTCACGAGGCAGATACCAGCAAGCAGTCGACGACGAGGAGCGACGCCGCGAAGGACAGCGACGAGGAGCGACCCCGCAGAGGACGACGACGAGGAGCAGCAGCAGCTGAAGAGCCGCGAGGCTTGTACAAGGAGACGAATAAAGACAGTTACGATCTCAACAGAACTCTTGCGTTATTCATTGGTCAAAGGCAATCACCCAATATAAATTTGGTGGAACGAACCCATAACCTCTCTGAGCTAGCCGCCCGTTAACGTAGTGAGCGAGAATACATAGAAATCAGGTCGTTACACAACCTAATCACCATTTAACGCACTCTCCACCACAAACCTTAAATACAATGCTTGCTATAATCTACGTAAAAAATAGAGTTGGTGCATTTATGCCTTGCCGAGCAATATTATATTCAGCTTCCCAGTTAAACTTTATTACTACGCGCCTAGCTAGCCAACTTAATTTGAAACTTAGACAATCGCACACACTAATTTCTTCCATGAACTTTGATAAGGTAGTCGATATTCTGGCGCAACCACGGGATGCAAGCTATCATGCGTCATTCGCAGCTGCTATGGGTTATAGTATCACTGATTACCAGCCAAATTTTAATATAAATACTACAGGATGGAGAATGCCACAAAACATTTCGGTAGCTGACCCTCGTTTCAACCAGTCGTTTTAAAAGTTTGGAATCAAAACTAAATAAAAACCCCAATCTGAAAGCGCAGTATTCGGCATTTTTACAGGAATACCTCAACTTAAGCCACATGTCACTCGCATTAAGGGATCCAGCGGTGCCACAATTTTTCTTGCCCCACCATTCTGTTCAGAAACTTGAAAGCACTACAACTAAACTTCGTGTCGTCTTTGATGATTCTGCAAAAACTACATCTGGGATAGCACTAAACGACTTGCTTCTAGCAGGACCAACAATTCAGCAAAAAATCTTTAATATTTTGCTTCGGTTTAGATTTTTTAAAGTAGCTCTTTGTGGAGACATCTGCAAGATGTACCGCTGCGTTCGTGTTTCGTACCCTGATGACTTTTCGCAATGTATCATTTGGCGAGAGAACTACACAGATAAATTGAGTGTTTATAAACTAAACACGGTAACTTATGGAACCAAGTCGGCTGCCTTCTTGGCTATAAGAGCCATACATCAGCTCTCTTATGATGAAGAGGAATCATTTCCAGTTGGAGCAAACATCGTTCGTAGATATTTCTATGTGGATGATCTAATCTCTGGTGGCGATTCAGTTGAAGAGGTGAAAGAAATTCGTCATCAGGTAAAGGAGCTACTGGCGCGCGACCACTTTCCGATCCAAAAATGGAGTTCGAATGAAGCAAGCGCTCTCGAAGGAGAGTCTGATCGCGATAAAGAGCAATTGATTAAATTCCACCACGGATCAGCTATAACCCAGGCTTTGGGGTTGGTCTGGGATCCATCTTAGAATAATCTTCTCTTTAACTTTTCATATATTTTATCAAGTCAACGAGCAACAAAACAGATTGTGTTGTCAACAATTGCGAAATTTTATGATCCGCTTGGTTTAATAGCACCCATTGTTACAAAATCGAAATTTTTTTTGCAAAAGCTATGGAGCACTATCATGGATTGATACTACACACTGCCAGAGCCCCTTCTTTCGTCATGGGGGGAGTTGAGCTCTTAGTTGTCGATCGTCCACAACCTAAAATTTCCACGATTCGTAATGCAATTGCAAGCTTCAATCGAGATGCACGGATTCTGTGATGTTAGCACAGCAGCTAACGGCGCGTGCTTATATTTGCGGTCGGAGGCCAATGGCAACGCTGAAGCAGATCTACTCTGCGCGAAGTCTAGAGTAGCTCCCTTAAAAGCTTTAACAATACCAAGATTAGAACTTTCAGCAGCGTGTTTATTGGCTGAGCTTATCGTAAACGTTAAGGAAACCATAGGTTTTGATTGCACATTTCACTGCTGGTCAGACTCGTCTATTGTGTTAGCTTGGATTCGGCAACCTCCGAGGGAGTTCAACGTTTTTGTGTCTAATAGAATCGCGAAAATCCAGGATATGACGAAAGGTATGGCTTGGCATCATGTTCCAACAGACTTGAATCCGGCGGATGTGGTATCGCGCGGATGTACCCCCAAAGAAATACTGGAGCACTCCCTTTGGGCAAATGGAAATCCATTTCTACTGAAAGGAGCGTCGAACTGACCCTCCCTATTATATGCAATAAAGAACCTTCCGGAACGGCGTTCCACGGCGCTAATTGAAATCCATTGACATATCCATCAACTGCAAGTTTCTCAACTCATTCGACAAGTTGCAGCGTGTTTTCGCGTACATTTATCGATTCATTTCAAATTGCAGAGCCAAATCATTACCTTCAACCATCTATCTTACCGTTGACGAGGTCAGCTTCGGAACCGTTCTGCTTCTAAGGAGCATTCAACAGGTTCTCATAGCGGTGGAGTATGAGGTTCTTAGCCAAGGCAAGCCTTGTCCTCCGAAGAACAAGTTGATTTATCTGTGGCCAATACTTAGCTCTGAGGGTTTACTTCGTGTTGGTGGAAGGCTTCAAAATGCGAGCTTGGACTACGAGGCTAAGCATCCGATATTGTTACCCAAGGATCATCCGGTCACCAGGGCGATTATTGTCTATTATCATGAGAAATACTTCCACGCAGGGCCACAGGCGTTGCTCGCTGCCTTACGGCAAAGGTATTGGCCACTTGGATGCCGAAAGTTCGTGGCTAGCGTCATCAACAAATGCGTCAGATGCTTTCGGATGAAGCCTGTGGCTTGGGAACACGTGATGGGTAGCCTGCCAGCAAATCGAGTTCAGCCTAACCCAGCATTTCACACCACAGGAGTGGACTATTGTGGACCGTTCTATCACAAGTCAGAGGCCCGGAACAAAGCACCCCACAAGGGCTACATCGCCGTCTTTGTTTGCTTTTCGACGAAGACTGCGCACTGAAAAGTCGTCCAGGATCTCACAACGGATTCTTTCATTGCAGCTTTGAGAAGATTCATTAGCCTCAGAGACAGTCCACGTACTATTTGGAGTGATAATGCGACAAACTTTGTTGGCGCTAAACGAGAGCTAGCGGAACTGAAGGAGTTATTTTTGAGCGAACCGCACACGGCTTCGATAACTTCTTCCTGCTTAGCGAATGGGATTGATTGGAAGTTTATACCCCGCGTGCTCCACATTTCGGTGGTCTATGGGAGGCGGCTGTAAAATCGGCAAAATTTCACTTCTACCGAGTTGTCGGTGCAGCCATCTTAGCCCTTGATGAATTAAGAACACTTGCATATGAAATTTCTGCCATTCCTAACTCCCGTCTGCTTTGTCCAATTTCAGAAAACGATGAACATTTTGAGGTGCTAACGCAAACGCATTTCCTCAAAGGTTCCAGCTACACAAGGTTGCCTGAGTCTGACGTTACTCATCTTCGCGAAGGCCGGTTAAGCAGTTGGCAAAGAATAACACAAAAGCAGCAGCACTTCTGGAAAAGATGGAGCAGAGAGTATTTGTCCCTGTTGCAAGAACGCAGCAAATGGCGGATAAACACCTAGTGAAATGCTCATAGGTGTGCGCTGCACACGCAGGACTTTTATACAGCTTTGCATGTTTATTGTTCTTCGTTTTTCATATCTCGCTACATTTGTCGCGTTATCTATTCAGCTGAGCTACAGCGAAAACATGTACAAAAATTTGAAGTCAAGCTTTCGGCAAGTTAGTTATACAAAATCGCTGCAACTCCGAGCACAGCTAATAAAATCAAGAAATAATTTCAATTGAAACTATCGTGCGTTTAATTTCTATTTCTAAACTAAAGGGTGGCATTTTGGTTGTTTTCCCCATAAACAGACAATATATTATTATTTGTCTTAATTTTCTTATTTATTTTTCGCACTTTATAACTCCTTTACGGATATACAGGAAGGATAAAATTCCTTCTTTATTTAAATTTATATGAAGTTTTTTATGTATTCTATCACTCGTATAATTTTTCTCAACACTGGAAAACTTTTAAAATAAATTTAAAAAAGGATCATCAGTTTTATTATTTAAAATTGAACTTATTAATACTGGCCAACAGAAATATGATTAACTAAAACGTGCCACAGAGCCAGACATATGGACAGTGCAAGTGTCAGCATATTTCCAAGGCCTGATCGCATAAGCATATACAACATCTCTCGCGCTCTCGCACCTTATGTGTAAGCTTAACCATTGTTCGGTATATAGCCGCTGCTAGCCGCTGCTAGCCGCTGCCGTCGTCTGCGGGTATCGCAGCTCCGAGCTACTAGCTTAATATCATAATGACTCTCAACAAATAATGATATAACAAAACCGACCTTATGGTCGATATTAATTAAACACCTTCTAATTGGAAATTGTATGAAAACATTTAATACATAGCGACTGTGACAAGTAATAAAAAAGACTGCAAAAAAAAAATTGAACTGGAGAACAAAAAGAAGGAGGTCTACTGGAACGGCATGGCACAGGATGAAGGCGAAAACCAAAGTATGAGTGAGTAGAGTGCGATAATGAAGAAACGGGTAGCGCACATAAAGTGGCTAATCTACCCCAATACACCACCTTCCGCGTGGGCTATAACCCAAAAATTACAAGCTGAGCTTGATTTTCTAAAACCAAGTCTCACATAAAAACACAAACATAATCGCAAATCACTCTGCTCAAGTACAAGTTATAAACGATACAATATAAAATTAAACCTCCATCCTCAAAACAAGTGCCACATCGTCCGAAAGAGTGCCTTGCCGACTGACCTGAACCTCTCGAAAGTGCTTACTGTAACTGCACCTGTGAGATGACCGGCACCGGAACAGCCTTAAACCTGATAACTAAGCGCGGTAACCGAATACCGCGCCACCAAGGGGCATCAGCGTGCCACATCCGACGATGACCAGCTGATGCTGAAGGGTCCTACGAATGATGACAACATTTTAATTCAATACAAATATGACAAATATATGAAAATTTGAAAATATGAATAAACTTAATTATAAGAAACATTTGTAAAATTGGGCGAAACCTTATCTGCCCGACTAGAAGTACATTCCGTAAAGATATACAGAACCATAGGCAGGTAAATGATATTTTAAAAATTAAAAAAAGAACTAATAATTTACCAACAAAATTACATATGTTAATAGTTATCGTCATTGTAGTGTCTGCTAATGTTTTTTTTTTTTTTAATTATATAAACTACACATCAAGTGTTTGAGGAAAAAATTCCAAAGTCAAGCAAATGATCTGGATAAAGTATAAAACAGGCTCATTATAATTGCGATTTTAACTAAAAGTAATTACAAATTAAAAAAAAAAATTACTTCTCAATAAATGAAAAAATAACAAATACACCTAATAAAGAAATCTAAAAACAAAAATTATATATATATGTCGCAGAATAATTTAAACATTCAAATTATAACGATTATTTGTTGGTACACATTTGTTTTATTTCTTTGTGGTTCCCCTTTCTTTCGTGCGAGGCAGATACATAGTTCTGTCAACGTAGTCTGGCCGTGGGCATGAGTGAGACAGATAGTGCTCGTCATAACTCACCACACTGTGCGTGTGTATTGGAGGGTGAGAAGGAATGGAAAAGGGATCGACATGAATTAAAGAGGGAGTCGAGTTGTGAAATTCAATCAACATGCCACGCGCCAGAAAACGTTTCGCCGAAAGTCCGGTCAAAGACTCGGATAATGAATCCTCGTCATCAGAAGTGGGATTACCTCCGCCTCCAGCCGACGATGCAAATCTTTTGTCAATTTTGGAGATGCAAAATCGTAATTTCGCTGAGCTAATAAAACAAGTGCAGTGCTCTCAAAATGAACCAAAAGATGCCAAAAACATTGTTCTGCCAAAGTTCAACCCTGATCGTGCAGGATCAGACGCTCTCTCCTGGTGTTCAACGGTCGACTACATCTTGTCCGAAAACCAGCTAGTGGGCAGCGCTCTTGTAATGTCCCTCAGCAAATCACTGGAAGGCACCGCATCTCACTGGCTCTCGCAGACATGTTTTCCCGGCATTACGTGGACGCAGTTCCGAGAATTATTTTTGCAATATTTTTCTGGAACGGAGACTTTGGCCGCAACCGTTATGAATTTGCTAAATGCACGCCCAAACGAAGGAGAGTGCTTGTCGCTGTATGGAAGCAGAATGGTCACATCACTTATGGCCCGCTGGAAGTCACTTAGCGTCGAGCAGATTGCAGTATCCGTTACGTTGGCACATGCAGCTGGGATAGACAAACGATTGCGCCGTTTGGTTTTTACGACGGATATCAAAACCAGAAACGAGCTGCATCAGGAACTCAAAGCCTTTTCGTTCGACACTAGACAGAACCAGCATTCGAGTGACAACTTATCAGCACCCCAAGGAAAAAGAGTCAGGACTATGTCTCACATCACGTGTCATAATTGTGGCAAACCCGGACACAAGAAGGCGGAATGTCGCTTTAATAAAGAGGCAACTCAGCGTCAGCAGCCCCGTAATCAACAATTTGGAGCAAAAGATCGATCATCCGTGATCTGCTATAAATGTGGAAAAGCTGGACATGTATCTACTGTGTGCCCAGATCGTCAGGAGCGTCCGCCGATGAAGAGCAATACCATCAAAGACGTAAACATATGCACAGTACTTGAGCCCTTAGGAACGTTGCTGCAGTTTGGTGAGTCGTTCCAATTTTACTTCGACTCCGGAGCCGAATGTTCACTCATCAAAGAGACTGTATCACTGAGATTATCCGGCACTAGAATAAACAACGTAGTGACATTGAGGGGTATAGGTGGCAACTCTGTTTGCAGCACTTTACAGATATTGGCGAATGTTTTAATTTGTGAGCGTTCTTTCGAAATCTTGTTTCACGTAGTTTTAGACAATCATATCAAATACGACGCTCTGATTGGCCGGGAAATTTTGAGCCAGGGCATCGGCGTGACAATTACATCAAGCGCGCTTACTATGTTTAACGAAAAGTCTGTATTACCTGTCGTAGTCTCCGAATGCACTCCTGACCTGGCTGGTGTCGATACCGATTTACATGGACAGGATAAAGACAAACTGCTCTCAATATTACAGGGGTATTCAAATTCTTTTATAAACGGTATACCACAGAGTCGCGTGACTACGGGACAGTTAGAGATTCGCTTGATTGATCAGAATAAGACGGTTCAGAGACGCCCTTATCGATTGAGTGTGGAAGAAAAAGAAAAGGTTAGACATTCCATTCAAGAGCTGTTGGAAGCAAACATAATAAGACACAGTTCCTCTCCTTTCGCGAGTCCGATGTTACTTGTCCGCAAGAAAAATGGTACAGACCGTCTGTGTGTTGATTATCGTGAGCTTAATGCCAATACCGTTTCCGACAAGTACCCATTGCCACTTATATCTGACCAGATAGCTAGGTTGAGTGGTGCTAGGTTTTTCACGTGCATTGACATGGCGAGTGGCTTCCATCAGATCCCAATACATCCAAGCTCTATTGAACGGACAGCGTTTGTAACCCCAGAAGGGCAGTATGAATACTTGGCTATGCCTTTTGGGCTTAAAAATGCGCCTTCTGTATTTCAGAGGGCCATTAATCGTGCCCTAGGCGATCTGACTCATACATATGCCATCGTTTATATGGACGATGTAATGATAGTTGCACGCACAAAGGAGGAAGCTTTTGACAGGCTAAAAATAACTCTACAAGCACTCGTCGAAGCAGGATTTTCTTTCAACATTAAAAAATGCTCCTTTCTTAAATCTTGTGTAGAATATTTGGGCTTCGAAGTTAGAGCAGGTGAAATTCGACCGAATCCTAGAAAAATACAAGCTCTTACAGATTTACCGCCTCCGCAATCTGTGACTCAACTGAGACAATTTATTGGACTGGTCTCGTATTTTCGTCAGTTTGTACCCAAGTTTTCACAGTTACTGAAACCACTCTATGCTCTAACTTCAAAAAGCATGTCATTTTCATGGGAATTAGAGCACGAGCAAATACGACAGAAGGTAATTTCAATCCTGACTAGTGAACCTGTTCTTACTATTTTTGATCCACAATTTCCTATTGAGCTTCATACAGATGCGAGTGCCGATGGCTATGGCGCAATTTTGTTGCACAAAATCGAAAACAAGCCACGAGTTATCGAATACTTTAGTAAACGGACTTCGTCAGCGGAATCGCGTTATCACTCGTATGAGTTGGAAACACTTGCAGTTTTCAATTCTATTAAGCACTTTCGCCATTACTTGCATGGTCGACATTTTATCGTTTTTACCGATTGCAATTCTCTCAAGGCATCTCGCACAAAAGCGGAACTGACTCCAAGAGTCCATAGGTGGTGGTCGTACATGCAATCTTTTGAGCTTGACATTCAGTATAGGCCAGGCGAACGAATGGCTCATGTAGATTTTCTGTCTCGAAATCCCATATCAAAAGATCGCATCCAGTCAAAAGGTACAGTGGAGAAACATATAAATTTAGCAGAGATTACTGACAAATGGTTGTTAGCTGAGCAGCAACGAGACGTAGAAACGTCGTCTATTGTT